GCTGCTGCTGCAGCAGTAGCAGCTGCAGTAACAGCTGCTGCAGCAACAGCAGCAAGCCATTTCAATGTTGTGGGGTGTTGAGATGATATTTAAAATCCGTCGAGAGACTCTAAAGAAATCGTAGAACTCAAAAATGCATACAAATGCCGCCCTTCGTCCCTGCAGCAGCAGCAGCAGCAGCAGCAGCAGCAGCAGCTACAGCAGCTACAACAGCAGCAGCAGCTACAGCAGCTACAGCAGCTACAGCAGCATCAGCAGCTACACGAGCAGTAACAGCAGCTACACCAGTAGCAGCATCATCTACTGCAGCACCCGCTACAGCCACCGCGACAGTTACAGCAGCAGCAGCAGCTGCTGCTGCTGCTACTGTTGCGGCAGCAGCAGCCAACTACAGGACGCCGCGGCTGAAGCAGCGGAGAGTCACGTCAAGCAAAGCAGCAACGTAGAATAATGCAGATCCAGCAGCAGCAGCAACAGCAACAGCAACAGCAACAGCAGCAGCAGCAGCAACAACAGCAGCAGCAACTGCTGCAGCAGCAGCCAACTCACCGCCCAAGGACATCTTGGAGTTCAGCTTCTGTCATTTCTGCTAAGTCCCTCAGACACCGCACCTGAAAGAAGAAGACGAAGCACAACTTCTGATGTTGCTGCTGTCGTTGCTGCTGCTGCTGCTGCTGCTGGTGGCCTTGCTGCTGCAGGCAGGCAGCAGCAACGCTAGCTGCTTGGAGAGACCTTAAAAAAACCTTCCTCGCTTTATAGCCAGATCAACTGCAGCAGCGGTAGCAGCAGCAGCAGCAGCAGTAACAGCAGTAGCAGTAACAGCAGCAGCAGTAACAGCAGCAGTAACAGCAGCAGCAACAGCAGCAGAAACAGCAGCAGCAGCAGCACAGCTTTTCTTACTCGCGATACAACAGTATTGATGTTAAGGGCAGTAACCCCTGGCAGCCGTCTCAGCAAATCAACAGCAACAGCATTTGTTGCTGCTGTTGCTGGCAGCATACGACCCCCAGCAGCAGCAGCCAGAGGTGCTGCAGCACCACCTGCTGCTGCTTGCTTCCTCGGACTCAGTTGCTTTTCTTCGCTTTTGCTGCTGCTGCTGCTGCTACTGCTGCTGCTGCTGCTATCTTCTTGTTTTGCAGCATCTGTGGCTGCGGGGGAATCCTCTATAGGCAGAGGCGTGGCGGGGTTAGAGACGCGCTGCTGCTGTTGCTGCTGCTGCTGCTGCTGCTGCTGCTGTTGCAGGGTGTCAGAAGAAGGCCCTTCTCCTGCTAAGACAAGCCGATCTATCTCCGCTATCCTTGAGAGAGACGGCTGCTCCCTCCCTACCTGCAAGCAAGCCACAGCAGCAGCAGCAGCAGCAGCAGCAGCAGCAGCAGCGTCGTTGCAGCAGCAGTAGCAGCAATAACTACGGCCACAGCAGCAGGTGCTGCAGGGCCTTCAGGGTGTGTGTATATGCGTGCAGGGCCAGCCGCTCCAGCAGCTACAGCAGCAGCTGCTGCTGTAGCTGCTGCTGCTGCTGCTCTTGCTGCTATCTCTGCAGCAGCAGCAGACGTACTTTCATTGCCACGAAGACGCTCGCAGCAAATGCTGGATGAGGGGCCCAGAGCAGCCGCAAGGAAGGGAAGTGCAGCAGCAACAGCAGTAGCCTGCAGCAGCAGCAGCAGCAGCGGCAGCAGCAACAGCAACAGAGCAAATGGACCATCTCTATATTAGCTTCAACAGCCAGCAGCACCCAATAACGCAGCAAAAATCTCAATGGCAGCAGCAGCAGCAGCAGCAGCGACAGTAAGCAGAGTAAGCGCAGCATGAGGAGCAGCAGTGGCATCGCCGGCAGCAGCAGCAGAAGCAGCAGCACTGATAGCAGCAGCACCAATAGCAGCAGCCGCAGCACTTGCTTACTTGTCCCAAATGGGGTGCAGCACGTCCCGGCCGTGTCTGCTGCTGCTGCTGCTGCTGTTGGGAGAAGCAGCAGCAGCAGCAGCAGAAAGGTTCACTGGCGCCCCTCCAAAATCGAGCAGCAAACAAGGAGACTGATAATGGCGAACTAATAGGCGTGCCTGCAGCAGCAGCAGCAGCAGTAACAGCAGCAGCAATAGCAGCAGAAGTAGTAGTGCTCGCAGCAGCAACAGCAGCAATCAGCTAGCAGCAGCACCAAGAGCAGCAGCAGCAGCACTTGCTAACTTATCCCTTCTGCAGCGATGCCACAAGCATGCACCAACTGTCCATACACCCCACAATAGCCACAGCAGCAGCAGCAGCAGCAGCAGCAGCAGCAGCAGCAGCAGCAGCACCTGATGGTAGAGACGGCCGGAGTTGAGAGACTGCACCAAATCTGCAATGGCCTTCCTCTCAACGCAGATGTCCCTGTACACCCCACAAACAGCAGCAGCAGCAAAACACGCGCATGCACTAAACCTCCTCTACCTGCCTACCAGCAGCAGCAGCAGCAGCAGCACCGGCAACAGCAGCAAGCAACACAAGCACCAGCAGCAGCATTACAAACAACAGCATTACAAGCAGCAGTGGCACCAAGACAACCAGAAAGAGCAGCAGCACAGCAGCAGTACCAACCGCAGCAACAGTAACAGCAGCAGCAGCAGCAACAGCAGCAGCAGCAGCAGCAGCAGCGTACCGGGTCAAGACGTAGTCCCCTACAGTGATGGTGGTGGGGTGTACATGCACCTGAGAGCGGAAGAGTTCGTAAGGAAGAGAGCAGCGCATCTCTCTTGCGTCTACAACAACAAGGGGCAGCAGCTCTTGGCCTGCTGCAGCAGCAGCAGCAGCAGCTGAAGCAGCAGCAGCAGCAACGCCACCGCCTCTCCAGCTGTTCATGGCCTCCGCTGGCTCGATGCCGACGGCGCGCAGCTGCAGCAGCAAAGAAGCCTTTGCTGCTTGTACCTCTGCTGCAGTCTTGCCGCTGCTGCTGCTGCTGCGCAGCTGCGCTGCAACTTGCAGCGCCGCCTGCAGCCGCTCAGGGCCCCAGGGCTGCAGCTGCTGCAGCAGCTGCTCGCGCATTAGGCGGTGTGGGGCGAGCAGCAGCAAGTCGTCGGTCACCAGCAGCAAATGCTGAGAAGAGAATTCAATATGCTTCCAAGCTGTTGCCTCTTCATGCACAGACTGCACATATTGCTGCAGCAGCAAACTGTCGGCAGCAGCAAGAAGATACACGCGCAGCAGCGGCCCCACAAGCCGTTGCTGCTGCAGCAGCTTCAGCACGCGACAGCAGGATTCTCGCGCTCCTGCTGCTGCTGCTGCTGTTGTTGCTGCTGCTGCCGGTACTGTCGATGCAGCAGCCGCTGGATCTACTGAGGTGGTGCTTGCTGCAGCTGCTGCTGCGGGTTGGAGGCCTGCAGCTGCTGCTGCAGCCCCCGCACCAGCACCGGGTGCTGCTGCAGCAGCAAGAAGCCGAGTGATTTGCTGCTGCTGATAAACAGAAGCGCAGTATCCCTCTAGGAGACGCACACAAGGCAGCAGAGGCGGCAGCAGCACAACTGCATGCGGCTGGTGCTGCTGCAGTACGACAGATATAGCAGCAGTGCCTTCATAAGCGCTCACAACGCGAGGCAGAGGCCGCACCCTGAAGCAGCAACAGCAGCAGCAGCAGCAGCAGCACAAGTAGTACACCCAGGCGCACTGGGACGACTATGTTTGCAGCTCTACGAACCGAGCAGCAGAAGCAGCAGCAGCAGCAGCGCATTAAGCAGCAGCAGCAGCACAAGTAGCAGCAACTTACCTCAGCCTTCGAGTTCTCCAGCGCAGAGCCCTCCACAGCTGCCGATCACTGGGGCCCTCGGGCTCAGCAGCAGCAGCAGCAGCAGCAGCCGTTGCTGCTGCAACTTGCAGCCCTGTATGATGCCCCCCCATCATCTCTTCCATTCGCATTGCCTGCTGCAGCAGGTGCTGCTCTGCCCTTCTGCTGCTGCTGAATCCGCTGCTGCTGCTGCGCTTATCTGCTGCGTCTGCTGCTGTTCCGTACGCAGCAGCAACACCACCCGCAGCACCACCTCCTGCAGCAAGGCCTCGCACGTAGCTGCCTAGACACCTCAGCAGCAGCTGCCGGGTGCCCAGCAGCAGCGCCAAACGGACGCTGCAGCAAACGCTGCTGTCCCCACAGATAATTAGAATGCGGTATGCAGGCCGGCGTAGGCGACGCGGCCTCCGGGGAGCAGCAGCAGCAGCAGCAGCAGGTGCTGCTGCTGCTGCTGCTGCTGTTGCATTTGCTGCTTCAGACGCAGTCTCTGCTCCCGGGGTTTCCTCCTGCGACTGCCGCCTGTCTGTACAGCTGGAGGCCTCTCTAGGGCTGGTGCTGTTGCTGCTGCTGATGCTGATGCTGCTGCTGTCGCTGCCTTGGCTGCTGTAGCCGCTGTCGCTGTTGCTGCTGCTGCTGTTGCTGCTGCTGCTGCTGCTGCTGCCAATGCTAATACAACATGACAGCGGATCGGAAGTACAGCCATCAGTTTGTTCCCCGTTTTGTTGCTGCTGCCGCTGAGGCCTTCCCGATGCAGCAGCACTAGCTGCAGCAGCAGCAGCAGCAGCATTAGCAGCAGCAGCAGGCAGCCCCTGCTCTCGCAGCAGCGCCTGGTAGACATCTTCATCAACCTCGCAGTCCCATACAAATTTCTGCAGCCACTCCAACGCTGCAGGGGGCTCCAGGTGAAGTACTGCTCGCTTCTCGTACTGCTGCTGCTGTTGCGCTGCTGCTGCTGCTGTTGCTGCTGCTGGTGCTGCTGCTCCGCCTCCTGAGTCCGTCCGCTGCTGCTTCGCCGCGCTGCCGTTTCCATAGCAGAGAGAGTCTGCTGCTGATGAGCCAGCAGCAGCAGCAGCAGCAGTGGGGCCTCCTACGCAGACCCGCTTCGTCGAGTAAACCCTGCAGCAGCAGCAGCAGGAAGAGCAGCAGCAGCAACAGCGGAAAATGCTAACCGAGCTGCATATGGACGACAAAGCAGATGCAGTGCTGCAGCATCAGCGTTAAAGTATAGCAGCAGCAACGCAAACATTAAGAGCAGCAGCAGCAACGCGGGCAGCAAAAGCAGCAGCAGCAGCAGCAGCAACAGCAGCAGTAACATTACTCTAAAAAACAGCAGAGCAGCAGCAGCAGGTTGCGAAGCAGTTCCCAACAAAACAGCAAATGCCACCTCAGCGGCAGCAGCAACAGTAGCAGCAACAGCAGCAGCAACAGCAGCAGCAACAGCAACCGCAGCAACAGCAGGCGCAACAACAACAGCAGCAGCAGCAACAACACCAGCTGGAGCAGCAGCAGCAACAGAAACAACAGCAGCAGCAACAGCACCATCAGGAGCAGCAGCAGCTACAACAGCAGCAGCAACAGCAACAGCAACAGCAACAACAACAGCAGCAGCAGCAACAGCAGCAGCAGCAGCAGCAACAGCAGCAGCAGCAGCAGCAACAGCAGCAGCAACTGGAGGGACCTTTGCTTGGCTCTTCTTAGAATAACCTGCAGCTCAGTCGTGTGCCCCCACGCCTCATCGATAGTTTTGCTGCTGAGCAGAGACTCGAGAAAAGATAAAAAGCTGACGCTATTTAGGCGCCACAGCAGAAACACCAGACGCCGCAGCTCGCCCAGATCCTGCAGCAGCAGCAGCAGCAGCAGCAGCAAGAGGAGCAGCAGCAGCAGCAGCAGCAGCGAAAGGGAAACACGCAGCACAAGTTAACTTAAGCCAGCAATGGAAGCAGCAGCAGCAGCAGCAACAGCAGCAGCAATAACAACAGAACAAACAAACAACCACAAATAAACTACAACCAGCAGTCGTTCGAGAGCGCAGCAACAGCAGCAACAACAGCAACAGCAGCAGCAGCAACGGAAGCAGCAGCAACAGCAGCAGCAGCAGCAGGAGGCACCCACAGCTACAAGCGCCTTCGTTTTGGGGTCCAGCTGATGCCACACGGAGCTCAAAGCCCTCCGTAAGGAGCCGCCAACGGGGGCCCTTTGCTGCTGCTGCTGCTGCTGCTGCTTCTGGTGCTGCTGCTGCTGGGTTTGCTGCTGCTGCTGCTGCTGCTGCTGCTCTTCTGTGGGGAGAAGAGGCGCCTGGCCTCGAAAGAGACAAGACACCTCCCAATCCTGCAGCAAACCAGGCAGGCACTTCTTGAGCTGCTGCAGCCCTCGCTGCAGCAGCAGCAGCAAAGCCTGCTGTATCTCCAGCTGCAGCGGCGAAGGAGGCAAACAGACTTCGCACGTCTGAGGCTGAGACGGCCCCTGAAACAAAGCACACAAAACAATGCATGCATGCATGCAACCTGCTGCTGCTGCTGCTGCTGCTGTTCCTGTTGCTGTTGCCGCTGTCGCTGCTGCTTCGATTGACGTTGCTGCTGCTCCTTGGGGTGGTGGGTGGCTAACAGTGCTGCTGCTGCTGCTTCTCAGGATTGTGCTGTTGCTGCTGGTAGTAGGGATAATGTTGCTGCTGCTGCAGCTGCTGCAACAGCCATGCCATACGGCGCATGAACACGGAGCTGTGGCTGCAGTGTTGTTGTTGTTGTTGTTGCTGCTGCTGCTGCTGCTGTACCTCTAGGGTGGTTTTAACGTCTTCATGCATGCGGCTCATGCAGCGGACTTTCTTGAGCTGCAGCAGCTTCAATGTTTGCGTCAAGTTGCAGCTGCTGCTGCTGCAGTTGCTGTTTCTGCTGCTAGCAGCAAAGTGATGAGGTCTGTCGCTGATTGCTTTGAGGCCCCCAATCCTGTTGCGCTGTCTGTACACCCGACAAACGAACGCCTCGTGGAAGCCTCCGCTAACGCTGCAGCAGCAGCAGCAGCAGCAACAGAGGCAGCAGCAGCAGCAAACGCAGCAAAAGCAACAGCTGATTAGAACCGCTTGATGAAGCAGAAGCAACAGCAGCAACGCCATTGCCTGCTGCTGCAAATAGATAATGTGGCTGCTGCTGCTGCATTCCCTCTGCCCTGCTTAATCTCGCTCTTCCTACTACCTGGTTGCTATTACAACAACTACTGCTGTTGCTGTTGCTGCTGCTGCTGCTGCTGCTGCTGCCGCTTCTCTATTCGCGCTGCTCTTGCTGCTGCACTATTCCTGCTGCATTTGCTGCTGGGTCTGCTGCTACCGGTGCTCAAGTGCTGCTGCTGCAGCCCCTCTATTCCTCCTGCCGGTGCCGCCGCTACATCTGTTGCGGCTTCTGCTACT